AACTTTCCGCCATTCAGCTGCAAATGAGGCTATCTTATTTTAACTTGGTATAATCTGTGTCGTCTGCACTGCTCCTGTTGTGTGAATTATAAATGATATACACAAATATTTCTGTGTCTTGTGAAGTGACTTTTTATCTTAATTTTCATTTTCATTTGATCATCAATCATTCCAACAAAAGCACATTTGAATCAACATTAGGTAGTTCTTTCACTGAACAGGACTTCAATTTACTTGGTGGTTCAAGGAAAATGTTATTAATAATACAGTTAGGTAATAAGATTATTATTTATTATTAATTAATTATTAATTTATGCATATATTTTGGCGACTAAAATTTTTCACTAGCGACCAAACCTGAACAGTCAGTGGCCAAATGGCCACTAAGGAAAAAAGTTAACTTGGAGGGTTGAGACAGAAGCTAACCTCAGAGGGTGTATGAGTGCAGTTTTCCTGGTGGTTTGTCATATCTTGACCATTATCTAAAGGGAATCTTTCATCCATCATCTGAAAGAACAATTCTGTGGAGGAAACAATTTACGACTGGTGAGAACTTTAAATTCAGATTTAAACCAGTGTTGATTAGACGAGAGATGCTGACTTCTTGCAGCCACCATCTCCGATGTTCTAGGATGATGAAAAAAATCTGATCTCATAAACTTTTTCTGCAGAGTACATATAATAATAAGTTACAAAGTTATTAGTTGTTACTTATTAAGCAATGAGCTACTTAACAGTAGTATGACTAATTTGAGTACATGTATGTAGTTTGGCAATATACCAGAAAGACCACTTGTTACCACTGGTTAGGAGTATTTCATTGTTGTACACCTTTTGTCCAGACAACTATTAACAATCTATGTTCAAAGCTGTGATATTAATGATTTTCCAGTATCACCTCTCAATTGCAGGGTGTAAGAGACATTTTCTTGTAACATTCCAAATAAAACAGTTATTAAATATTCCTTTAGAAACCTGGATTAGCAGAAAACCAGGAAGTCACTTTTCTGATCCGCCTAGGTTAGGTTAAATCAATTCACCAACTCAGAATGTGTAAGCTAATACACAACAACAAAAAATGTATGTTGATAATTAGAGATCCAAATTGGACAATATGTTGATTGTTGAGGCCTGTTTACAAAAAGCGAAAAAATTATTACAAAGCTGACACTTACTATTAAGAGAATGTATGGCACAGCGTAACTAAGCACCACTTAACATGTTGATCAATGCCTCATTTTTGAACTCAACTGAGTTTAACATTTCACTCTAGTTTGGACTACATGATGATGTGCTGATACACTAGAGATATTATATATTACACATACCCTGTTGTTTTGAAATCACGATCATAGATTCTTATCTTGCATGTACCGTATACAATAAACACTGAAGAATGCGATAACTCAAGTACACTGTTGTATTCGAACAACAGAAAAATAGGCATTTGAATGAAATTGTTAAACCACTATAGAAATGTTGCATTTGGAATACATTTGGAATGAATAGTTATTAAAGGTGTCATGTTTAATATATCAAAGGGCTGTCAACCATGACAGTGGATATATCAAGTCAAATATTGATAACTATGAAGAGTGCATATAAATTAGATCCGGCTGAATATTTCAATTGCGCAATAATATTTCTTTATAGTTAAGTCCAATTCAGAAGAAAAGGAACATTCAATTTCCTTTAAAGCAGTGGTTTATAATGCCGAGTATAAATGAAGAAAGCAATAAAGAATAACAAACAGCTACAAAAAAGTGGATCACATCACTGGGCAAAACTTAAACTTAAACATTAAAAAAAACTGATTAAAAAGTTTTTCTGAATTTTTAGAAGTACCATTTACACATAAGTGCCCTCACAGGGCTAATACACCGTAAATAATATTACGACACCACAGTCAGTTGTGAAACAATATTAACTAATTATACATAAGAAATGACCAAAACAAGAAAACACAGTCAAGCAGAGAAAATTATTCTATTATTGGCCAGGGCTTGCAAATGCAGAAAATCTGAAACCAATACAGCATTCATAAAATTAATGAAAAAAAACACATAGATGTCTCTCAATTAAGGTTTGTTACGTTGTACATATAGTGCTGGCCAATATCAATATCACTGGTCTCATATTCCACAAGCACCAAATATAATGTCAAGGGACTAAGTGCATTATCTTACTTGTAAAGTTGCAATGTCTAGACTAGCTCTATAATTTGTAATTTGTAAATTTTTGCATATCAAACAACTTGAAGTTGAGTTAGAATGCTTTAAGATGCAAAATTTTTTTCCTTTTTTTTCTTATTTGCATATAAGCGCCTTGATTCTACCAGTGGAATAAAAAACCAGATTTTGAAATTCAAAAGCTGTTTTGCAGCCTTTTACCTTTTGTCTTTTCAGTCAATTTAATTAGCAATTGCATAATGGCTTATCTCTAGATTATGTAAAATGTGGGATATGCAAAGACTTGCAAATTGTTAATTGAAGGAAAGCTGACTCATACCTCATGCAAAGTTCAAGTTTGCAACATGTTATTTGAAAGAAATTCATAAAATCCTTCTTTCTCTGCAGGTAAAATTTGTACAAAAATAAAATCCAAATAAATTTAAATACAAAGTTTCAAATGAATCTGCAATCATTGACCAGCAACTAGATCCTTTGACAACAACGATACTTCAAAGCCAGCCACTAATATCAATATAATTCTTGTTCTGTGATTTACCTTAGTTTGCAGTAAAATGCACACAGATTAAATATGCAACAGGATAACCACACATGTGAAGCGTAGAGCAACTTTGCAGTTTGGAAAACCCAACTTGCATGAAATCAAACACCACAAACCCTCCAAGCTTGACAATTTTCGGAAACCCTTACATCTCATGTAACCTTCGTCAACTTTCATCTCTCAGCAGCACACAGGTCTGGGCTGAACGAGGGGTGAAGTTATATCAAAACATTTTAAATAAATAATCACGACAAGTCTTGTCTTTGAGATCCGTAGAATTTTCTAGACTGGGGTTGGCTTGATTCCCAATTACTGTGGTCACTCAAAATGAAAAGTGGCCCTCTCAGAAAGCAGCTTTTCTAATTGAATTTTTGCAAATGGTTACATGTAGGATAAACCATTATCTTGATGCCCTGAGAAGATTCTAGCAGGACCGTTGTTACCACAACAAATCAATTCCTGCCATAAACGAACACTTAAAATAGATTGCTATGCACCAGAGGAAAGATTGAAACCCAGACAAGACACAAGCTCGTGAATAACTTTTCCTTGCAATCATTCAACTAATTGCTTGACAAAGGTCATAGAGAGCAATTTGGGATTTTTGATTTAAAGAGATAATAAAACTGAAATTGATTTTAAAAAACCTGTTTTTTGAGGAGGTTTCTCATTTGAAGGTTCTGGAGGCCTTAAATGCTACTTAGCTCAAAGAGGATTAAGTGAGGTAAGTAAATTTGAGAAGGTTGCATAATAACGTTTGGATTCAGAGCCACTAAATATAGATTCTAATAACAATCATTGTTAGAGTTTCGTGGTTTGTCAAGACAATATACATGTAATCTCAGGACTTGTCGATGATCCTACTGTTAACACCTCTCTGTTTCACCATGCACTATATTCAAACAAGAAATGAACTCTTGACCACCCTTTGGGATTTTAAACAAAGGCGACATTGAGAATTAAATCACCTTGTGAAACACACTGGTGTTTTACATGTAAAATTTATCCAGGGTCAGTAACTGTTTTAGAATTCCTCTTCAAGATGCTTTTCAACTAGATGACTTTGTGATGACAGTAACACTATATATGTCTCTTCATTTTCCTGCCATGCATAACAATCTACCAATAAAATCTTTCAGAGAGATATTTTACTTACTGGTCGATAATCAACAATTTCTGTAGCGACAAGGTAATGAATGTATCTGGCTGACACCATCCTTTCGGTGTTTTTTGTTTGTTTGTTTTTTTTGGTCTGTACGAGAGAAAACCAACAAACATATGACATAAAGGTTGTTTGTTCAATGTCTTTAAAATACACATACTTTCAGTCCACACACCAAAAGAAAAAATCACTACATTGCAGCCAATTTGTAGTTTCAAAAAAAAAAAATTAAAAATATGTACTGTTTCATGTACACAAAGAAGAACCACTAAATGTTCACAAAATGCTACATGTACATGTAAGTGCATTATAAGTGAGGAATAAGCCAAATATGTATCAGAACTGTAATTCTAAGTATGCTTCAGTACTTCAACATATTAATTAAGGTGTATGTCTGGTTCTAAAAGTGCTTTGACAGCCTTCACTGCTACTTTGACTATTAAAAGTCCCCCAGCCTTTTAAGCAACTAAGCTTCTCACTTAGAAAGCAGCAACAATTGAAACCAGACTCTTAAAGGGAACAGTCACACCATACAGCTAAATCTTGCATGCACTGAATCTGTCTACCAATCTGTGCATCGGCAGTAAGCCTTAATTTTTCAGAGCTACATCTCTACCAATTTCTACCAGAACAGTCGTTCATGAAAATCAAGTCTAGATATTTGCCCCAGGTGACAAGTTTGAAACTTGCATCCAAAAAACCTTGTGGATCAAACCTTCCAGCATGATTAATCCTTGCTTACAAGTTACAGTTACCTTTAGTTAGAGGTATACAATAGCAGAGAGTAAAACAGCAGTAAGAGGGAACATGTAAACCAGCTTTCTAAATATAACAGCATGCACAACACACCATAAATGAGTATGCTATAGAACCATCTGCAGTAGATTGTTTTTTTTTGCATAATTTAGAGGCATGGCTATCATTCAAAGCGTTAGGAAAGTACAATTTATTTGTGAGCATCAGTAACGATGCAGTCTCCAAAAATAGCCAAACAAGGAAAGTGCAAACCATTGGTCTAAAGAGCAGTTGACGATTTCCCAAAACACAAGGTAGTCAGTAATGGCAAATACAGTACCACACATGCTGCAGAAGTACATGTTCATTAAAACAACATTATGGTGCATCAAACTCATGAAGGTAGAATTTCATCACTTCAACTGGTTCATAGATGTTGAATTTCTAGAGGAGATCTCAAATCGTCCTTGTTTTTCCTCCTGATCACTTCCAAACAACAAAATCTAAAACCACACTTTCACCAACAAATAGACTTCACTCGATTATAAAGCTTTTTAAGTTCACAACAGTAAGGTGATCACTGAACCTAAAATAGGTCCAGATCCATGCTATATGTACCTAGGTAGTCATGCGCAAAATAGAAAGTGGACCAGATTCTTACCACAAGTTATCGATATACAGAAGAATCATTCAAGTATGAACACTTTCAGATGAGTTCAAACAAATATCTTTGCCACACAGAGCTGAAAATGGTAAAATTACAGGGCCAACAACATTCATACACAACACTGTGTCAAACCTGTGACAGGATCCCATTTCAAAATATTCTAAGCTGTAAATAGTACCAGTGTACCTCGATTGCCAGAGTAAGCAGGGCTGAAAAAACTTGTTTATGCTATATTTGTATTCTCTTAATTGGACTGGAACTAGCTTGCAACTGAGGCTAATGCAGAGAGTCTTTTCAAATGCAAAATATGATAATTCATCTCTTTTTAGTGATAATCCCCCCCACATGAGCCTCCATTGCAAGCTAACTCCAGACATATCAAGAATAGACTACAAGTAGTCACTCTTTCGCTTAGTCTGTCATGCGTGACGCAAAAGAAAACCACAAGAAAAAAATGGCCGCATGAAATCCTTTGGGTGAGGCGTGTGCGAAAGGAGGGACTACAGCCTAAGCCACAGAGTTTGAATTATCACAACGCAAAAATATGATTGGCTTATGCTAGGAGCATTGACAACATGTTGTCAACATTTGAGATATGTGTGACGTCTTGCAGGAATGTCTATCTCGCTCCCTGAAAATAGAAAGCTTTGGAACCGGAGCAAATCAAAGTGTTGGAATTACATCTCACAGGCTGTGATGTTCTTGTGATTCTGCCAACAGGCTATGGAAAGAGCTAAATTTAACAGGTGTTTTGTTTGGCAAGGGTTTTCGCCTCGAACCTGAATGCAAGCGTGTTAGCAATTTCACTGCTCAACACCAGGTCACCAACATCGTCAAAGAACAATTCCATACATATGAATTGACTGAGCTTAGCCTTTCTGCCGGCCATCTGAAAGACTTTCACTTGAAACTTTCCACTGCTATCGGCAAACATGTCACTACAGTTGGATGATCTCCTATATCAAATACATAATGTAAATTCTCGGTTGAACTCTGCATTTGAAAATTTTGCAATAACTTTTTAATTTAAACCTACAGACACGGTAGAAAACCATTACAAGATGCCTCCTTTGCCATCTTCTTTTTGAAACTTAAAAGAGTTGTCCCTCCTGACCAAGCCAAATACTCATCTCAGAGTGTCCCAGGTTAGTGAGTCAAACATATCCAAACTAATTTCATGTCATTAAGTCAGCTCAGTACTGTGTCACTTCATCTTCAAAGCAAGTGACTCCCAACCAGGAACAGCCTGTCCCCCTTCTAAGGGACTGTTTACAAGGAGGGAGGGTTACCAGCGTTAGCAAGCAGGTTACCCTAGCACTCACACATTTCCTCTTTTTTCCTCCGTCATGTTAACAAGTCAGCCAGGGTTACCCAGGTAGGTAGGTTACCCTATCTACGTATTAGGGTTACCCTGGCAGGAAGGTTAACTTTCTCCCTTGTAAACACTCCAGGTAGGGCTAACCTGCCTACCCGCATTAACTTTCTAATTTCCAGACCCTTTGAGTGTAACCATGCATTAAGTTGTACTGGGTTGTAGGGTTACCCTACCAGTGAAATTTTGCTTGTAAACCTGGGCTATCTTTTGCCCTCCAGGGTAACCCTCCCTCCTTGTAAACAGGCCCTAACCCCTTCCCTCCCCCACCACCCAAGTTAACTCTGATTTTGTATATAAACAAGTTGCTGCTATTTATAAAGAAATCAATGAAACATTTTCAACATAAATGTCATGGTCATGGTATGGAGCAAAACCCTCCTACTTGGAACAAATTACATGCAACTCTATATCAACACGTCTTAATTCACATGGTGTAACAATTATTTCTCAAACACTGACAGGTTGCCACACTACACTGTACACTGAAATAATGTACAAGCATCTTTGATTTGTGATACATGTACTCCAAAAAAAGATTGCAAGCTTGCATTTTCTGGGTGAAAATTACAGGAAATACCTCCTGGAACCCCACGACACATTTGACGTAGCTTACATTCAATTTATAATGTTACATTAATTGTAACCTTAGAACCCAAACTGTATCAGCTGCTTATAAATAGCTAAAATTGAAATCTATCAATATACTTCACAATGAAAGACTGTATCAAATACAACTAAATATTTTCCACCACTTAATTTCTCTTAGATTTCCATTCGTGATTGTTGATTTAACTGTGAATCTTACAACAATCTAAGTCTTACTTTATCTTAAGCATGCAAGAACCATTACTGACAACCCAAACCTTTCCCCTAAGAATAATTTAAAATGTGCAAAAACTTCAGTCACTTATTACCGTATGCCCTTATTCAATGCACATCTCCACATAGGATAATGTGGGTAAACTTCTGGTTGTGCAAAAAAATCTGTATTTAGTTTTCATCTCTAAAATTGCAGAGCACCCACTGAGTTGAGACAACTGCAACAACAAGCTAGACCACATTATGCCAATTAAGGTTGGTCAAGTTTCTAAATTGAAATCAAATCCATGCATGCATCAGGCCTTCAACAGACCACAAGACAGTCAAATCACTGATCTTTAAAAACATGAGGAGTTTCAATTTAGAGTTTCTCCAAAATCATTTGAATCACACAATAAGACTGAGTAACTTTTCCCCTTGTGAAGCTCATCATCCCCGGATCATCAGAGGATAATATAACAATAATAATATACGATGCTATATTGGATGCAATCAAGAATCTAAAAAATGCAAAATTAATATCTATGAATATTGAATAAGTGGCAATTCAAGGTGAAGGTTACTTTTCAGGAAACATTTTTATTGTCACAAAAGAAACCAACAGAGAGATCAAAGAGGACACAGAGAAGGAGAGATCCATGTGAGTATTGCAATATAATTTCCAGGTTTAGTTTACACAGTGGTTACAGAAAAAACTCAGATCAAACACTATTTTTGCTATGCAGTTACAAAAAGACAAATATATGAACATTACTGGTATCTCACCAGCGTTACAAAAGTGAATTAATCAATACACATACACACTTGCTAATAAATAAATGCAGCAGTTTTAAAAACAACACGCGTTACCACAAACTAAAGTATTCTCGTTGGAAGATTCAAATTACAGAAAACTTGAGATGGCTAAAACGCGATAATCACTAATTATTTTCACCTCAGCCCTTCTGTGCAAACGAGTGCAAAAACTCACAGTGGCAACAAGAAAATTCATTTAATATTTCCAACCAGTGTCCGGGGTTGTCGTTCTAGCAATCGCAATTTCTTCCATACAGGACAACTGGTTGCTGGTTAACCAAGAATCCATAAGCTTACTTGAGACACATCCAGGGCCTTTGTCATTTACGAAGACACTTAAGCCTTAGTTAAGCTTAAGTCAATTCTCAGCCAGACATTTAAAACAGTTTGAATTTCTCTACGAAATTAATCTATTTCGCGATGTCGTATCCAAGTTTGTTCAAGAAACCACGGACAGATTGCTCGAAATGTCGGCGATTATTACCAGGTCAAAGACCAAAAGAAAACACAATCGATTCCATAATATGCACTGAATACAAATTCAACATAAGCTGATTCACATTGAAAGTTAAAGCTCTGCGGCCCCTATTTATTCCAGCCATTGTTTGCATTTGCTCACCCTTTAACAAATTTTAATCCATAGCAAACAAGAAAGTCTCTGCAGAGATCTTACCTTAGAAAGTAGCCAGTTTAGGTCCATTTTCAATCATCGCTGCAGTGGAAAGAGGAAACTTGCAAACTATCGATCATTCCGTTTGGAAAAGTCTTGCGTGGTGAAAACGTAACAAATTTTGCCCAAAATTGCAGAATCAGCCCCGGCGTATTTACGGCCTTAAATCTGAAAGGGGAAGTAAAAACAGGCCGAATAAGAATTTTTTAATCAAAAAATTAAAGCTGAAAAATAGGATACGATAACATGTGATGAAAATTCAACTTAGGACTTGCAAAACAAGAAAGAAACTTGCACATTTACAGATTAACGAGTGGAGAAGCACCTTTATAAAATTAAGCTTATACAGTATCCACTAAATAAAATGGTGGCTTCCCAATAAAACTGTCCAAAAAATATTCCCCTAATAATAGACATATTCCATGAATACTCTCCTAAAATAAAATAAAATTAGGAAAAGCACAAAGAGTGGACGCTCAAATGGGGGTAGATTTTGCTTGAAATCGACAACTTATAAAAACCTTAATTAATAATTCACTCCACTCGACTACACTCCCTCCAAACATCGACCTAAACAAGATAAACCCCAAAAATTCTACATTAGTTGAACAACGCCCATTGTAAGAAAAAGCCAGATCCAAACCTTACAAAAGGCCGCCTCAATATGACGCAAACCTCTCGCAATCGACGAGACTTGCACATGAAATCGACAACAGATTTGCCGACACCGAGGGGAAAGTTTTGCTCATCCACGCCGATATTTTCGTAACACATTTTTGAGCGTGGGCGAGCTTAATTTAACTCCAACTAACAAATCCCGGGAATCTCTCTCGCCGGCCACTTTACCTCACCTGAAAGTTTGCTAGACATGTTTTTCTTTTCATCTGTGGCAGCGATGGCGGTACAAGCAGCCGGATAAATGCACCAAACTGCAGCAGGTTTTGAAAACTGCCGAGAATTTTCACGGCAAAGAACGGACGCGGCTTTTGGACGCAGAATTGCAACCGGAACTTCAAATGAGCTGCAACGTCTCCCGTAGGTTACTAAGAGAAGACCTCGTTAATTCAGGAGTTAAAACAGATAATTTTTCCCTAAAAACAGTCGAATTGTCATGGCATGAACACAGAGAGAATGTAACACCGGCCACACGAGCATCATCAATCGCACGCACCCGAGACTTCTGGGTAATGACGTCACAGGAAACTAAAAATTGCCGGAAGTAAAAGTTCATTCAAAGAGGACTTCCGCTCTGAATAAAAGTAAGACTGAAAATTGACCCAAGAAAGCAATTTTAGATGCAACGTACAGTATATATCTATATGAGATTTTAAACGTAACACGCAGGAAATGCAGATCGGTCGGGAGATTAAAGTATGTTAAAATTATTTGTTGTTATTATTTTGACGGACCATGAAAATGCGTATTTTAGAGAACGAGTGTCGTTAAATAAATTACTTTTCACAGGCGAAAAATATATCAAGAAATTTCTACTTTGATCTCACTGGATACGAAAAAGCGACATTTTGAGGCTGATTCGTGATAAGTACACTGATGTATTACGTGTAAAACATGACAGTTTTTTATTTGTTGTAATAATACAGCAACATGTCAGCTTGAAATCGTGCATGAGTCTTGACAAGTCGGAAGAAAAAATATCACGCACGTCCAAGCAAGCAGCCACGGATCTCTGTTATCTTGCTAATAATACTAAAGTATAACGAACCGTTATTATTTATTCCACGTGAGTTTTCTCTGGTTTAAAATATATCTTCACGCTCAATCGAGTGAGAGTTTGCTATTTATCGTATGCATATTTACAGCTAATAAGTCTCTATGAATATAAGCAGGGTAAAAGTGCCAACTAGCCCGGTGAGCCACCACGCCCGAGTGTGAATAAAATCAAATCCTACAAGAAGTCAAATTAACTCCCATAAATAAATCCGACGGCTATAGTCAAATGAACCCACCTCTCAGGAGAGATTTGGAGCGCTGAATGAGCCGGTTGACACTGAGCTGCGAACTCTGAAGGCGGTCGGCGTGAAAAGGAATACAAACACGGCGCTCGCTCGCGTTACCCTTTTCGAATCAAAATACGAAGTGAATCTGTCGCATGAAGAAAGTCTACTTAGACTTGGCAAAATGCCTTGACGTCATCGTCTCTAAACAAAACGCAAATGAACGCCCACGAGCGGAAGAATCGAATAGAACTGTATACGTCTTCACGTGAACCAGAAAACTAAAATTAATTGGACTCGTAAATTATATTCACCGAACACTAGTGAGCCGTTGGAGGCTTTGTGCTGCCTTGCCAGATAAGTCCCCTGTCTGACGTCACGCTGACGTCATATGAGGTCTGTGTGTATAAATACACAATAAGGCTGTCTAAAACGAGATGAAAGGAAAACATTGTTTTTTTCCAGCAAAGTGCATGCTAATGTTTAAAAATACTCGCGCTGAATAATTTCTTGCCCCTCCAGGGGTTGTGATCTTTTTCGCTGCCGCGTTGCTCTGACATGAACTTTTACTCTAGCATAGATCCATTCGATTTTTTTGCCGTACCATTTTCGTGTCAGAACATTTGTGAAACAAAATACTTTCGAAGATGAGCCAGTTGATTGATCGCAAAATGCACTTTCAAAAGAAATTCGTCGGTAGGCGGTCATAAATTATTCAACAAGGTGTGATATTTCTGCATTAATTTGCTGGCGAGAAAATCCATTTTAAATCCTACGCAGAGAATAGCTAGCGATGCTTCTATTTTAACCCGGTTTGGTTTTGCGTGGGTGGAATATATTTGGATCAAACACTGAAGTGTGACCGGCAATCGGTTTTTCCGGGAAGTTTGAACACTGGTAAGCCATTGCAAAGAGTGTAGATTATTTTCGCTTGCGTTTATGCGAGATTCACGAACGAGAGGCAGGTGAAAAAAGTGCTATAGATTGCAAAAGCTGAAACCGCATCTTGCTTTTGAATTTAAAAGCAGGAAAATAAATATTTTTTCTATTCAGTAAATCCTCAAATTTTTGCACAATATCGCTGCACCTTTGATGTTATTGCTTCGTGGAAAAAAATATATATCTTTATAGGCTAAACATTATTATTTGCAATGTTGTTTTTTTTCCGAGCGGCATCATAAAAATATTGGCACTGACAAAATTAATGTTGCCACTTAGAATATTCAACAATGTTTTTTTCCGAATGACAGAACTGGAGATCGGATCTCCAATCTCTCATGATGATTCTAATGGAAAATTCGTGTAATACAAACATCAGCCGCGAAACTCCGGCAATTTAGATTTTTCTCTGGTTTCAATGAAAACAAATTGCTCAAGACAACTGAAAATTCGCGTTTAACGGATGGACCTGTTCTCAGCGCGATGCATAAACAGCATGCAATTTCAGATCGTGAATTGACATGCTAAACAGCTATGCCTGTTTTGGACAAGAATTAACTCCGAAGGCTGCAGGGGAGAGTCCAAAGAGAAGGGAAGGGCATCATAGTTCGTGTAAATGTATTCTTCTGCCGCGGTGATTCTGTAAGCGTTGTGTGGTGGTTTTTATGAGCAATAGACGATCGACATTCAACAAAAGTGGTATATTTGTAATTTGCATGTAAAGCATAATCGCCGACGTTTCAACTTGCATGCAAAACCTACTTGAGCCATCTATTTACTTCTTTTTTGCACTGGATTACGCATTGTTATATTTTAAATACAGGAAAAATACCTTCACTAATCTAATACTGCACCCTTCCTTCGGTTTGCGATGCTCTCCAGCTAGTCTTGTGAATTCTTAATTTATTTTTTCTCCATTTTTTGGGGTCTTTTTTTTTTTACCCTTTCGCCTTAGCAGTATTCCAAAGTCCATTTTTGATGTCGTTTAGAACCTAATTGCTTGTAACTATGGATGAAAAATTGAAATCAAAGGACGCAAATACAACGGAAGAACACTCACGATTATTTAAGAAAGACTTTTGGGCTTATCATCGAATATTGTAGAATAAACAAAGTTTTTCTCGTTGCAAAGGTGTTCATTTTTGTCTCAAGAACCCGTGGTTAGTGGGAAGGAGACAAACTCGGCTGTTTTTTGAATCAGTTTAGCACTGAATATTACAGTAAAAACAGTAACTAAAATTCAGTCAAGACTTTTGTCTTCTGTTTATTCGTTTGGCCTTATTATTCTTTATAGATTCTCACCCGGCTAGGGGAAACTTGCCGAAATTTTCACTGTTGTGTAACGCATTTCGGAATGCAAGTAAGCAATCCAAACCGCGGAGAGTAAATTTACATAGCTATGCGTTAAGATGGTTAAAACAGAGTGTATGAGGTAAAAGTATATTTGACAAGACGGTAATTTGCAACCATTTGGGGATTATGCATTCAGCTGAAAACTGCACCGAGTTCGACATGCATTATCAAATGTTTTTTGTGCTTCCTAGCGTGAATTGTAAACCTCTTATCCACACACAACGCCACCGACTGCGTGTTATATAAAAGTGTTCAAAGTGGAAAGTTTTGCACTTGCCATCTCATCTAAAATTATCAGCTTGAAGAGATCTGTTTTCGATGAAATAGGCTCTATTTATTTTGTCTAGTTCCATGAATTTGACAATGGCTTTCAGCCTTACGACTTATTTGAGAGTCATTTGAAAGAGCTGTGTATGTTTTTCATGCTGGGTTCTCGGCTACTCTCAGTCCGAAGTCAGTGCCGAGTTGTTGTTAGCAATAGTACCTATTCGCCAGCAATGCATGCTAGCTGTTATTTGCTTCCCTCAATTCGAAAAATGATAAAAAAAAAGTCCTTAATTTAGCAAAATCATGTTTCCATAAGCTCAGTGAACATATATGAAAAACTATCCCCTACCTGTAGTCACTGGATTTTAAACTGAAGAGAAACGCCGGTTCTTACAGATGGTTCACCGGGCTTTTAGTCAGTGTAAACAAGACATATAAGACATGAAGTGTGTTTTTGGTATCAAGCTCGCGA